GTGGGTCACTGCACAAATGCCTCTTGTCTTACGCTCCTTCCACTTTTTGATGAGTGGCCAATGAAAGCTTATCCCCTTTTAAAATTTTTTTTCCCCTATTAAATCTGCACAAGTGTTAACTTCTCAAAGATTCTGAGACTCAAAGTGCTGTACCCAACACAGAGCCCTTTTTTCTCCTGCCTTTGATTTTTATGCACATTTCAAGCTGGTCAGAGAGTACATGGGGGGGTTTGTTTAGGCTTGGTGCTAGGGTTTTAGCTTTAAAGGAGCCTTCCCAGGATTATTGCCTATTAACTGCCTCTTCATAAAGGTGCTGACCAAAGAAAGGAATATTTTTTCCTTGGTGCTAGACTTCCAAACTCGATTGGCTTTATTAAATGGAAAGACAAATAAATTTAAGCCCTGCTCTGAAATACCTTAGCACAGGACACCAGCAGTTAGAGGTCACCAAGTCACTTGGACTTCCTCCCAACAAAAGCAACATCATTTTTCAATGTCCAGCCCCACAGCATCCCGCAGTGTCTCGCACAATTCCTTAGTGTCCACACCTGCTCCATGCCACTTGGAGCGGGGCTGAGCCTGTTTGGATGGGGCAAGATCAGTCCCTGAGAGAATTCTGTTATGGTTTGGAGCCATGTTTGATCTCTTACAGCAGAGCTGGATAAAAGCTTGTGGTTGGGATTTCCTTGTTCTGTTATTAAAGCAAAAAAATCCCCGTTGTACAAGGAAAAGAAACTTTCCTTCACCTTGGGAAGGATGTTACAGGTCAGAAGGTAATTTCAGCATTGTTTACCTTCATTTCATTGGAAGGCTCAAATCCCTTTGTTTTATGATTTAGTTTCCCATGAGATGGGGATAGCAGCCCTGCTCCTGTTGCACAGCTCCTTTTGGGTGTGCCAGTGTTGTGTCCATGCTTAAGGACATGGTCCACAGCCTTCTCTGTTATTTCTCAGGATGGAAATTACCAGTATTAAGGAGGATGTGAGGCCCTTCTGCAGCATTCCTAAAGATTTTGCAGTCAGTCTGCACATGTAGGTGAGTTGTACCCACAGACAGAATGACCAGATAGTACCATTTTTGGAGAAAATGGAACATCCCCAAAATCATTGTAATTTTTTTGCCTGCCCTGTACATCTGTCATTCACTTCAGTGCAAGTCACTGTTTCCTGCAGTGAACCTCTTGTATCCTCAATAGTTTGGTACTGTGTGCAGGGATAGGAAGTGGTGGACGTTGAAGATTTAGCACCTTTATGGAGTTCAGCTGTTGAATCTGTAGATCTGCAGCCAGGGATGCATGCTCTGAATTCCCTGTTAAAATGCTGACTCAGAGAGGCAGACTGGAGCAGGAGAGGTGATGAGAACAGAAGTTCCATCCTCACAGTAAAACCCTACTCTGCTTCCATTTCCAAGGTGTGTGGGTTGTAAGCCCCACTTCTGGATCCTTTTGCCTCGGGCAGATCTCCTAGTGTGAATAATGTCTCTGTGGTGTTTTGTTTGAGGGATCCCAAAGGCATCTCTCCCTGTGTTTAATTTTCTGCCTTCTTCCAGACTTCCCTCTGTATTGTTTTTTCTGCAAGGCTCATGTTCTGCCAGCCTTTTGGCACCACTACTCTTGTGCTGGAGTCTCCTTGACAAAAAAATTGTGGGTGGTGACCTAGTCCCTCAGACAACCCATCCTCCAAATAAATAACCTCATGGAAGAAGAGCCATCTTGAGCATAATTTATTATTTGCTGTGGGCTGGGGTCTTCCATTCCTTGGGTGAAAAAGCAGCCTCTCATCCAGCCCTCAAAATCGAAGGTATGTTATGTCTTCTAAGTAATATTCACTCAGTTATAGGGAGTGTGTTTATGTTTCTCATGTAAAAAAAAGGGGAGGGGAAGGAAAAAAAAAAGGGAATCTGAGGTTAGTGTTTTGCTGGAAAAATATCAAGACTTGATTGGCAATATCCCACTAAACCACAAGTTTGTAGGAGAGAAAACAAACCCATTGGATTTTCCAAACTATGCCTATGTGCTTTATGAAAATGTGTCCCATATAGGTCACTTATGCTCTTATTATAGCAGTGGCAAGTGTACATATAATTGAAACACGGAAATACTACCCCATGCTGCTCAATGAATGAAGGAGAAACAAATCTTTGTTATTCCTGTGTTCACAGAATATATAGGAACACTATTGTCTCTTTATTTTTTTTTAATGTATTTTTTTAATTTCTTTTTTTTTTAGGGCCGGTCTTAGCTTTCAGATGTATTTTATTGTCTGTGGGAACATGTGTTTTACAGACCTGTCATGTGAAAGCCATTAGCAAGAGGAACTGGAGGAGTAACAATGAGCCACGTAACCGTGGTGTGTCTGCTCCCCGAGTTCAACCCCGTGCCGCCGCTCTGCGCGCGCGGAACCGGATCACACCCAGCGACCTGAGCACTTCCCTGCCATTCCTCACTGGGAAACCTGTGGGAATGCAGGGCTTCCCTCTGGCTGCCCTGGCTGCCCTGGGACCCTGGCAGGGGTCAGGAACCCCCCTGGACAGAGCCCCCAGAGACACTGTCTGTGATCTCTGTCCATGGAAAAGAGTTTTCAATCTTACAGGATCAATTACCAGCTCTGAGTGTTTGATAGAAGTAATAATTAAGTGTGGCACAGGTGCAAAAGGAAAATTTTAGGATTCTAGATTAGGGGTTCAGAGGGCACAAGATGGAGGAAATTGGGTGTGCCTTGTCCTTTTTCTCCTTCTTCATGCCCTCCATGTCTCACTGTGGTGTTGGCATTTTTCTGTTGGTTCAGGCTGGGGACACACTGTCCAACGTAGGTGACAGATATTGTCACGTTATTGTAAATCCAGCCCAGGGAGTTTGTGGTATTTAATGTTTGTAACATCCCACTGAGGGCAGAGCCCCACACGCTGCCCTGCAGGACAGAGCTGGGCAGGGCAGCAGAACATGTTAGAGATAAACAGAATAAACAACCTTGAAACCAGCACAGACCAATTATGGCTTCTGCTTTGGCAGCGGGGCAGAAAGACAGAGACTTTCTACAATCTCGGAATCATCAATACCTCAGATTCCGACACAAACCTAAGGATTTTTTAAGTGGCCCATTAAAACGGGGTTGTTGGCATCGCAGGCAGGCTTCTGGGGCCAAGCTGGCTGGGCATCAAAATGGTTAAATCATGGAATGAAGATCAGCTGGATTCACATGAGATGTCCAGTTTTATTTACCAAATCTGAGCCGGGCGGGCAGTTCTGGAACTGTTCCTCACTGGTTCACACATGTGGTGGAAACTGTCCTGCCTTGCCAAGCAATTCAGGGCCCAGAACTTGCAATTAACCCATTTCCAGAGCTTTTCAGAGGCTCTGAAAGGGGCCCTGAGGAGTGGCCTAGACCACTATTGAGTACCTGAAAATTTCACTTCAGTATGTTTTGTCCCTGTTCACAGGCGATGGAGTTTTTTCTTAAGACTAACAAAACCCTGCAGTAATCCTGGCTTAGGCAAACCCATTAACATATAGGAAAAGCAGCCAAAGTGGATTGCGCAAAGTGAAATCCAGAGAGTGGTTCATGTGGAGAACATGGGGAACATTACTTTGGTGACACTTCTGAACAACATGCATGGTGCCCTTGCTAATCGCATCTAGAAAGTGGTGTTCACTACAAATGTACTGCGGACAACTTTGGGTCAGACCCAACAGCGCTTCATTTTTTATTTATTATTTTTATTCATTTTAGAAGGAAAAACCCTCTGATGTCTTTTGACTGCTAGCTGTGTAAACAAACCCACAGATACTTAAGCAAGTTAGTGGTCGACAAGTATTCCCTAATGTCTTCTGTAGGACCTGGGTGTGAGACCTGTTGTCTTGGCCCAAGGACAGCTGGAACCACTGTGCATTTGTTTTTTCCCTTACCTGGGTTTCGCTCTGCAAGTGGGAGGAGGGTTTCCTGTACCTTGTGGCTTGTGATTTACTCTGAACATGGGTTTCAGGGAATCTGGGGCTTGGTTTTGTGGGGATGTAGTGTTCCTCTCGATGATGGGCTTAATAGCAAGAATGGATGGGGAAACTGAGGCATAGGGAAGGAGGGTGCCCTGCCCAAGGTGACATTGTGGTTGGGAAACACCCTTCAGGGTTTGAGGCAGTGCTGTATTTGTCTGAAAAAAAAAATTCTAAAATGGAGTTACGGACATGCCACAATTCCCAGGTGTGCCCCCCATATTGTGTGTCCTGACCCATGGTCTTGAGCAGATCTGCTCCCTGAGTGGTACAAAGATCAGCCAAGCTGTAAGACACAGGAATCCTGCTCAGAGGGTTCCCAGATAGTATTTAAAACTCAGATTTCACGTGGCTTTATTGTGGTTGAATGGCTCTGATGGGAGTTCATCGCTTTTGTGGATGCTCTGGTCCTTGCATGGCTGGGTGTCCCACAGCTGCCCAAAGCACATGGCTGGTGCTTTAGTAGGTACAAACACTGACAGAAAACTGTCAATACACCCTGTAAATACAAAGAGGAGTGAGCCAAGGAAGGCTTCAAAGACAGGGAAGTGATGGGGATGGAGAGTAGCTGGCCAGGTAGGAGAGAAGCCCTGCGGATACTCGATCCTGCCGTGTTTGTTTGCACAGCTCTGGCTGCTCTGCCCGGCGAGCATCGGGCCCTCCCTGGAGAGAAGTGCCAGATTGGTTTTCATGGCCTTTTGCAGAGGCATTGCTCCAGGGGTCTGTTCCTGTAAGTTAATATTTGCAGCGCACAGGGCTTAACTGGAACCAGGCTGCGCAGACATCTGATAACCATAACAGAGGAGATGCTTTTTCCCTGCAAGACCAGCTTGGAAAAACAAATCCCAAGGCTATTCCCTTTGGAAAGATAGAGATGTGGAAAGAAAAGCACCAGGAATGGTGATGCGTGGTTTGCAAGGGGTCTTGTGGTTGAATCTTGGGGTTTTTTGTGAGCTGCTTGTTTCTGCCTGTATTGCTGATGGGTTTGGTTGTTGTCTCCCCTTCTTTGTAGCTGGGTTGCCCTTCCTCATCATCGAGACAAGCACAATCCAGCCCTACCAGAGGGGCTTCTACTGCGACGACGACAGCATCAGGTACCCGCAGAAGAACGTGGAAACCATCAACGACGCGGTGCTGTGTGCTGCAGGCATCCTCATCGCCATCCTGGCGGTAAGTGCCACCTCCAGAACCTCCTCCTCTGTCCCATGAGGGGTTTTTTGGCACCTCTTTGCCCTGCTAATGCCACAGGATCTACCCTGTGCACATCTCCTCTGCCATAGTGACTGTTTGACTTTCGGAGTTGCAAACATTTACAAATGAAAGCTTGTAATGAGAGGAATGAGATTACTCTTGAAGCCTGTAAACAGGCCCAAAGCTGTTTGGGCAAGTCATTGAGCTTCACAAGGACTTTTCCACCCTCCAGTAGGAGTTCAGAGTAAGAGGCAAAAACACTTGAGTGTCAGTAAAGACTTGGCATGGTTTGTCCCTATTCAAATAACTTGAGGTATTTGCCTGTTTTATAAGGTTTAAAAAACAAAGAAAGGATACATCTTTCCAGCTAACTAGTGCCTGGAAAATTTAACAGGTTAGTATTAGGTTTTTAAGAGATTGCATATTACAGCTGTTTTTAAAAGACAATTAAAATCTTCCTTAGGGAGCATATTCCCAGAGTCCTCCCTGTAAAATGTAGTTAATGTCTTACCTTCCCAATGCCTCTTCATTTTCCTTCTGCCAGTTTTTCTAGAGCTGTGTGAGGAAGTGATTGCATGGCAAGAGCTTTATTTGTCATGCAAAAAGCTGAACTCAGCCCAAAAAAAAGTTGAGCCTCCTGATGTGTGCCTGGTCTGGGGCAGAAGACAAGAGCTGTCTCCAGGTTGTTGCTTAAACACTTTCAGCTAGGATGAAATTCCCATATGAAAAGTACCTACATTTTCCTTCTCACCTGCTGCCAGAACTGTTCAGGTGGTTTCCCGGAAGTGCCACCTTCCTTCTGCTCCTTCAATTGGGAGGGATGGAGGTGGAGAGGTCAGGAGCACTTGTTTTCCTTTTACTTTTGCTTTCATGGAATGTCATGGGCAATAGATATTTTAGTGTGGCACAGTGCCTGCTTTTGTAATACCTCAGCCTTGTGTGATGTGAAGATCTCCATCATTTCCTCATCTCTCCATTATTGCCTGCACACACAGGCTCAGCAAAGCAGGTCTCCAAAATTGCCCTGTCCCTCTGCCCCCTCCTTCCCCAAAACAAGCCCAAAAGTTGCCAGGCCCCCAATTCTATAAACACAGCATAACTTCACCCTGCAGGTGAATGACCCCTGAGTGTGGAAAAGCCATAAAAATGAAATGAAAAAGCCTCTCATTTTCGCATTACTGCCGGAGCTATCGGCACGCCAGCTCCATGCAGAGTGTGCTTCTGATTCCTAATGAGGCAGTGGCAAATACAGGAGTTGGAACAGAAACTGGAAACATAATCAGCTGCCTGTGTGATCCATCAACTCTCTACCACGAAATAGCAGGTCAATTAAAAGAGAATGAAAATCCCTAAAGAATTGGATGTTTCTGCCCTGGTTTCACTGTGCCCACAACAAATGTAACTTAATAAGGTAAATTCAAAAGCTCAGTATTTGCTGTTGAGTGACACAAATGGCTAACGAGGAACTGAAGCAACAGATTTCTTTGCTATGGCAGCCTGCATGGAAAATTCAAGTCAGCCTGACCTCCTTTTTCAGATGTAACCCAGATACCAGAATTACTGTAGCATAATAGGAATTCCTTCCAAATCCACAGAGCACTGAGCGCGCTCCTTTCGCTCGCATCGTTTGCCTTGGGAAGGCAGGGCAGTGGTTGTGAGCACTTCCAGGGAGCTGGCTTTTGGGATGGAGCAGCCAAAATTTCACGCCCTCGCTTCACGTGGCATCACAGGCAGTCTAGCCTGGGGTAAAAAGGTCCAGGTCATGTTTTAAGTGGCTTGAGGACACCCAGAGAGTTGGTTAAGTAAACGGCAGAGGCGAGCCCTTTGCTTCCTTCAGGATGGGAGAGGACATGCATTTGGTTTTAATATCTGTGTATTTACTGACTTCAGGCAAATTTCCATGCAGATGACACCAGAGAGGCTCGTGCCCCTGGGCTGTGCACTCTCACCTCTCTCCGGACTGCTCTTCGAGCTAGAAGGTGGTTGATGTTTTGTTGGTGGTCCCTTGGATTGGATGGTGGGAAGGAGAAGGTGACACTCCTGAGCTTTGTAGGGGTACCACTACTGTGGTACCATGTCCCCACACCTGATAGATCTTGAAGAGCTATGAAAAATTCCTAATTAAATTAATTTGCTAGGTGATTTAAATGACACACCTGGATTAGCTGGCTGATTCACAGTTGAAGGTGTTATGCTGCAATGTGATTAGCTCAGAGGATGTTACATCAAAAGCAAGTGGCTAGAAAAGCTCTAAAAGTAATTACAGGCTAATTGGATTGCTGGTGATACCTTATAATAACAATAAAATGGTCTTGACAACTGAAAGTCTGCAAAAAGTATTCACAGATGGAAAAGTTTGATGTTGGCTTCTCTCTAGTAACCAGCTTTTTAAAATATGTCTGCCAGGGAATTGTGCCCATCACCTGGGAATGGCACATGTCCCATGTGGTTGGCTCGCCAGGAGTGCAAGGCAGGAGAAGAGCTTGATATCTTTAAAACTTGTTTTCTTTTCAGGATGTCCTTCCAGTCTGTGCACATCTGTGCTGCATTAGTTTTTCACCATCCTGCTTTATCTGGGACAGCACTGCCAAGAAACCAAGTTTACCCAATTTTTAGCTTCTCATTAAGTTGATCCATGGCTTTCACTAAGTGGGGAGGGTTCCTGGGTACCCAGCAGCATTTCAGTGGGGGAATGAAAACTCCAGTTTACAATCTGGTACATGTGTGCAATTACCCAGACCACCAACAGTGAGAGAAAAATACTGATCCCCAGACTTTTGTTGTTCCCTGTTTAAAATTGTCACATGCCTTTTCCCCAGGCCAAGAGCCTCAGGTTCGAGTGGATCTCTTTGTGAGTTTGCAGTAATGGCACATCTCCCAGTGTCAGATACCATCCTTAATTTGTCTGGTCTTCCCTCTGTGAAAGCCATGGGTTTTGAGCCCCAGAGCTCCCCTTCCTGTGAATTTAGGCTTTTGGGAGTGGACTGCCCTCGTGCAGGAGCCTTGGTGTCCATCCAGGACAACCTCCCTCTGCAGGCCTCATGCCAGTCGATTTCCTGGCTGGCAGCTTGTGCTGGAAAGTGGTTCAAAATGGAGATAAACCATGGTCTTTGGAGACTGTGAGGATTAAAATGATGCAGCTCCCTAAACAAGCCTTGGTCGCTACCAGATTTCCAAGAGGAAATCTCAGCTGTGACGGGTAAACCCCAAATGGTGGTGCAGCCACTCAAAAGAATTTCTGTGCATGGTAGCAGAGCCTGCTCTAGCTTGGCATTTATTTTCTGTTATTACAGTTGTATCTCTCTTTGATAAAGCCTGCTTAGCTGCAATTTCAGCTGTCTTAGGTCAACCTTTGTTTTTTTTCAAGCCCTGGTACGAGTGAGTTCAAACAATGATACAGCTTTAACTCTTCTTAGTCTAATTGCCATACTTTTCCAGTTTATTAGTTTCCAAAGGTTGTGCCAAACTTTTAAAAAAGGTAGGCAGGGGAGCCTCCTGCTTATGGCTGGCAGGCTGCCACGCTGGGAGGAATATTGCTGGCTGCTCCAAAAAGGGATTAACATGAAGGCATTTTTCTTGACAGTTAATTTTATATATCACAGTCCCCGTGACTACAGAGAGGCAGGGACAAGGGGCATCCAAAAAAAAAAAAAACCAAAACCCCTCTGCCTCAATTTATTACTCAGGTATAAAAACATTTAGAGTAATTAATGAAATCCTAAAGCTGTAAATCTGGAGCTTAAAATTTAGGTGTGTAGCATGACAGAGAACAATTTAAATCTTTGGCTCTTTGGGAGAGGTGAGACATTTGGACTTCATTTCACAGCCTGATTTTCATTAACCTGCCTCTTAAGAGTCGTGAGTGTCAGAAGTTGGATCCTCTGCTCCCTGACAGTGATTTATGGCAATATTGTCAAACCTCAGCACCCCTGACACAAGAAAAACATAATCTGCTGCCATGTGATGGTGAGACCCCTTGAAATGCCCCAGAATAGCTGGACTTCTTGAAAGCCTTGAGGGATCTGAATTAGGTCTGCTGGCAACAAGTTTTGGGCCAGAATCTGAAAATTTTGGGGCTTTCTGTTTCTTTCCTTGTTGTGTTAATGATTTCAAGAGAGGAAGATAAGCAGGATGTGGGTTTATTTTCCTCCAAAATCAGTTTGATAAGAGGGTAGTGGGTCTGGTCTCTCCTTCCCAACACACACTAATTCTTTATCTGGTTTATGTCAATTTTCTTTTCTCACTATGGTGGGGTGTTACTTCACTTCTGCGAAGATATGCCAATGTGCTTACCCAAAATTTACTCTTTTGTTTTGTTTATTGGATTTTTCCATAAACAACATGCCAAGCACTGGGAGGGACAAGGGGGAGGATGGAGAGACACTGGGCCATGGCTTCTCTTTCCTCACTCCAGAAGCAGATTCCTGGTTTGAGATCCCAGAGCTGTCTCAGGCCTGCATTCACACCCATCCCTGCTTCTGCCTTTTGGACCCCTGGATGCTGAGAATTTTAAATGTTCTGTGCTGAAAGGCACAGACCCACAAAAGAATAATGTGTTTGACCTGAGGCCGTGGAGAAGACTTCTAAAATTGAATCCTAGAACTGGGGTTATGAGTGTGTGGTTTGAATAGGAACATGTAATATCAGAGGGTGGAAAACAGTTTAGAATATATCAATATATATATGGGGCAAGATGGATGTTTAATTTGGTGGCTGCTCCTTCTTATTCATCTTCTTCAAGGGTTTGGGTGTTGTTTTGTAATTGGACAGAAAAGTCAACATTGTGAGACATGAGTGATTGGTTATTGGGTTAAAAGTAAAAATAATATAGGTGTCATTTCTTAATTGGATAGTTTAGCCCTAAAAGACCTTGTAGAGAAAGATATTTACCTATTTTGTAGCTTGTTAGTAGAATGCTGTAGAACTCACAGACTGTAATATAGGTAAGAAATAATACACATTTGAGCCTGAATACAAAATACCATCTCCAGAGCTTCCATCCCAGCCTCGACAGAGGCAGAAAGGAAGTTGAAGAGCTGACATTTGTCCAGTGTTTTTCCTGCTCTCTGACCTCTCTGCTGTGCTTGCCTCACAGATTATAACGGGAGAGCTCTACCGCATCCACTACCTGAAGGAGAAATCCCGCTCCTTCATCCAGAACCCCTACGTGGCAGCTCTCTACAAGCAAGTGGGCTGCTTTGTTTTTGGCTGTGCCATCAGCCAGTCCTTCACAGACATTGCCAAAGTGTCCGTCGGGCGCTTGCGGCCGCATTTCCTGGCGGTTTGCGACTTGGATTTCTCCACCATCAACTGCGCCAAGGGAGTTTACATCCAGAACTACACCTGCAGGGGAAGTGACAGCAGGGTGCAGGAAGCCAGGTGAGAGCCCCTGGCACCAGAGCCAAGGGGTGCTGCCACTGAATGTGTCTCGGGTTGCTCTGTCTGCAGTAGAGGATTCACATCTGAAACTGAGTGTGGGGTTCGTTTGGATATTGGGATGAAATTCTTCCCTGTGAGGGTGGTGAGGCTCTGGATGGATTGCCCAGAGAAGCCGTGGATGGATGCCCCATCCCTAGAAGGCTGTCTTAGATGGGGACCTAAACAAGCTGGTCTAGTGAAAGCCATCCCTACCCATAGCAGGGGGGAAAACGAGCTGGTCTTTGATGTGCCTTGCAGCACAAACCATTCTAGGATTCCATGAAACTCTGCTTTTTCTGCAAAGGCCATAAATCCATTTTCCAGTGGGCATCAGTTTCCCTTGGGAAGTGTGGCACTCAGCTGCCTAATATTTCTTTTCCTTTCTCTTTACTCCTGCACTGTTGTTTCCCTGAGCTGCTGCTCTCTGTGGGAATTCACCCGCAGAGCTGAGCTCATGGTGAGCAGCCCGAGCTGTCCCGTGTGTCACAGCAGAGCTTCTCCTCAGGAAAGGCTCCACCACACAGGCAGGGCTGCCAGTGCCTCCCCTTGGAGCTCTATCACATCCATCAGATGCCCAATTTTGACTTTTCCAGTGGCACATTCCTCATTCTGCAGTCAAGCTTCTGGAGAAGTTGCTCTCCTGTAATTTCTTTTGTGTTTCCCGGTTATTTGAGGCGAGATGATGAGTTATTGGGTTATCCTGGAAATAACTGCTGCCCCATGAGTAGGCCAGGAAGGGGACAAACAATGCAAGCATCCTGTCCATCCGTTTGCTTTCTGCCTCACCAGCAAGCAGGGCGGATAACAGGGGTTTTATAACCAAAGAACTGGGGGTTGTGAGTCCCTCTGGTCTGGCACCAGGCAAGTCACCATATTTTAGGGAGAATTATGATATTGAGGGTTATGCTGGCTGGTTCTGAGCACCTGCTTTGTTTTGCAGGAAATCCTTCTTCTCCGGGCACGCGTCCTTCTCCCTGTACACCATGCTGTACTTGGTGGTAAGTGACCTCACTGAACTGATGGATCCCCTGTCCCCCATCCCACATTCCATGCCAGTAATGGCAGGATGAGCCTTGGACATGGAAAGTTGGTTGAAAAAGAAGAGCCTGAGCTGTTGGTGGGAGGATCCACCCTCAGCTGCTGTGGTGTTATTTAGGATAGAGACCCCTGGTGTGATAGCTGAGCTGTGTGTGCAGCTTTGGGATGTGGCCAAGGTGGCAGTTAAATCCAAATCCTGCCAAATTTGTGGATGGCCTGTGCAATTCTGTTTGCACGCTGAGGAGAGACTTTGGGGCAAGCCAGAATGTTTCATGGATGGAGGGGCAGGATGTGCTGCCGTGGCCATGTCAGGAGGTGATGCCTGGTTCCGAAATGTGCCAGCAGAGCAGGTGGAGCAGCCTGGTTCCGGAGGGGAGGGCTGGGACTTGTTTTCCTTTGTCAGTGAGAAATGGCTCTGCCCTTCCTGCGCCTGGGCTGGGGCCGGGGTGGCTGCCAAGGTGCTTCCTGCTGGGACTGCAGGAGGCAGCGCTGCCCACAGGGGCTGGACACACACTCACACGCCCTTCTGGGGGGGCTCAGAGGGATCTGTGTCTGGTTTTCCTTTTTTGTAAGTTATTTCATTTAAAAAAATCAAGTTTTGTGTTGCTTTTAAGATTTGTGCTCCTCCCCCATCCCTGGTAATCTCGGACTTGCAAGGAGAGGAACAGCACTGTGCTGATAAAAACATGAAACATGAGCTTTTATCTATCAGCAGTGCTCTCCCCATCCCTTACCCTCTGGAAAGATAAGTGACCACTGCTCCCTCCTGCCTTCTCAGCCTTGGATCCCCTTCCCTGTGAGCAGCTCCTGTAACTGAATCACTGAGCCTTCCAGGCAGTTGTGGGCGGCGTATTAAATTCTTTCTTTGTTTTCCCTCTTATTTTGTTCTTGGAAAACGTCTGAATTTCTCCAGCAAACGTTTTGGCCGTTTCCTCCCAGCCGTATTACAATGAAGAGCTGCCTTGGTGATGCTTCACAGGAGGCTCAGTCCACCATAAACCTTTCTGAGCTGAGTTTGGAAGCCATCGCTCACACGGGCAGTCATTTATTTCTGGGGAGGTCTGTGGGCACTCAGATAAGTCAGCCCTGAGATATTTTCAAGCCCAGTATCAGGGAACAGCAAGGACTGCCAGTCCCTACTAGGGTGGTGATGGCTTCTCTACCAGGGGTTGACCCATTTGCTGCAGTTTGCTGGACAAACTCTCTTTTTTCATGTGTTTTCTGAAAATCCAGCACTTTTGGAGAAACAAATGAGAATACAGAGCTTGGGGGGCTGGTGGCAGAGACCCCACAACTGCTGAGTGCATTCCAAGTTCCCACAGGATGCACAGAAAGCCTGCATGGCTCATTTTCCATTGCTGCTTTGCACCAATGCCTGCTGCCTGATGTTCTTTTTAACTTTGCAACAGGCTTTAGAAGTGGTGTTTAGCTCCTGTGTGATGCTCCAGAGCACAGAGATGCCTCTGGTCTCTCTTTGCTGCCCTTCCCTGTCCCCATATGGGAGCCCTTGAGCTGTCAGCACTCACCAGACTTTGCCCCACACCCCTGACCCAGGACAGCAGGCTGCTCCACTTACCCCTTTCTATGCAGGGGGCATTCCTTTAAAAACTATTCTATTTTTAATTTTCACCTTGTTCCAAAACTCTGATATGGTTGGTAGCAGACTCTGTCTGGCCAGCTGTCAGTTGCCTTGTGCCTTAAGAAGTCAGGAAAAATTAAATCAAGTATTTGGTGATAAATTGAAGAGAGAAGAAGGCAACTTGAGAAAAGACAGGCGAGGCAACAATCTTAAGACTCTCTTCCACCTAAAAGTTTCTGTGATTCCAGCTTGTCTAGCAGCAGCACTGCTCTCCATCAGTCCAGCTCCCTGGTCACTGCCGGAGAAATCTCATAGAAAAAGGGAGGCAGAAAAATCTGACACATTGGAGAGGCTGATAATACCAAAAAAAAAAAAAAAAATTATAAGAAAAAAGACATTACAGCAAGCCAGAGGGATTTTATTAGATGCAAGATAAACCCTGCTGTCTTGCCCACCTCAATGAATGAGTTGGGGTTTTGAAAGCCTGCTTAGAAACGTGCCATCCCCCGTGCCAGTGCCTCCAGGAGGTGTTTGCTGGGTTTAATCAGGGACCCATCTCAGTCAGGACAGAGCAGGTGCTCCCCTGTTCCTGGGAAGGCAGGGCTGTGCTGCAGCAGGTTGCTGCCTACACTTTGGATACCAGGAGTGTTCCAGGAGCTGCTGCAGAGCTGGGTACCTGTGGGGCTGAGCGTGTCCTGCAGGGGCCTGGCAGATCAGCCAAGCATGTTCTTGGTTGAACAATACTCCATATTTCAAGGATAAGTCACTTCCCGTCTTTCCTGGCGTTCCCTGGCTTCACTCTTGGAGCCCATTCTGAACTAAAATGTTTTCAAGTTTGCTTCACCTGGTGGAGACGGGTGCCAGAAGTTTCCAGTCAGGCTATTAAAAGCTCCGTGGATTCCCACGCGTCGCGCAGGGCTTTGCCTGCAGGATTTCCCCAGGTATTTGGGGAGCTGAGTGACCACAGCTTCCCCATTTCCTGGCACAGCAGCAGAGCCCTGTGCTGTCCATGGGCTCCCGGTAGGAAAACACTCAGAGATGCCAAGCCCTGCAGGGCTTTGAGGGAAAAGTCCCAGGGAAAGGCACTTGCAACACAGTAAAATCCCCTGGGATCTCGTTCTAAATGCTGACACTTCAGGGCTAAGTTTCTCGCAGCCTTCTTGTCACCATGAATACTCAATTAACATCAGGCCTTTGTATAAAAAATTTAAAAGGGGAAATAACTCTTGGGTAATCCTCTTTGTCCTAATTTTCCTTGCTTTGTTACTCCTTGGCTGAGCGAGCAGCAATACGTATTTATAGCAGGCTGAGGAAAGAGGAGGTATGGAACAGGTTATTCCATGCAGCCCTCTGGAGCTGACCCACTCCTCTTTGTTGTGTTTCTGTGGATGTGGGGGAGTCTTTGCAGGGAGCAGTGGATGCTTTCCACTCCCTTGGAGCATGTGAGATCATAATGCTGTTTTATTTGCAGCATGAAGCTGCCTGAAATCACACGAAGGGTGCAGAAAAGCTAAAATTTAATATCAGCAAAGCTAAATTAATATCCCTCAGCAACATTGGTTGATTCTGGATAAAATGCAAGCAAACCTTGTGTATTTATTATGTGTCAGTGGGTGATGCAGAAGACTTCAGAATGGGTTGTGGTGAGTTCTACTGGTGTAAATGGAAAATGAGAGATGGTGCTGGGTTTATGTGTTAGGGGAGTGTGAGGCTTCTCCTTAGAGCTCTTTGCTGAAAGGTGGAGAAGGTGCCCTGGTACAGCTGAGCAATGATGCAGTGATGTGCCCTTGTAAAGGAACCTCTCTGTGGTTGTGGACTTGGAGTTGAGTTTAGTGGTGACCTAAGGAAGAGAATAAAATGGAATTACATCAGAGGCCAAGGCTGAGCTGTGAACTGAGCTGCTGGGGATATTTCTGATGGGATGTGGGGTCTGTGCACTCAGCAAAGGCAGGGAGGAGGCAAACAGCACCTACAGAGAGGTCTGTGCCCATCTCCTGTCCTTCCCTTCTGGCCAGCTTAGTGCTAAAAACCAAATTCTGCATTGCCCAGCCTCCAGCTGGCTTTGCCCAGCCAGGGATGGACAAAGCCTGTATGGTGGGATGGGTTTGGGCTGGAGAGGTTTTGGTCCTGTAGCATTTTGGGTACCAGTCTGCTTGCAGATGGGGCTGGAGAAGGAATGGAGAAGGAGGTCCCTGGGGGTCAGACAGCCAGGAACAAGCCCAGCTGTTTCCCAGAAGGAAACCTCAGGTGTGGCTGAGGGGTTGATGGAGCCCAGCCCTGCGGCGGGGGCAGCGTGAAGGGGACGGGATTTCTGGAGATCTCTGCAGATTTCTGGAGAGCAGAAATCCCTGCGAGGCTGGAGGTGATGCTCTGAGCCCGTGTCCCCTGCCAGCTCCTCCTGGCTTTGCTCAGAGGCCGTGTGTGGCTCTGGGCTGTCCCCACCAGCACTGTGGAAGTCCCCTGGCACAGGAAGAGTGATGTGACGTCCCTCGAGCCATCTGCTTGTGGTCACTCAGCCTCTGCCAGGAGACAGCGGATGGGAACTCCAAGTAACTCCCACTCTCTGTGATCCCATTTCACCCACCCTTGCTCCCGTTGGTGCTCCTGGTTTTTGCTGCCCTGTGATGATCTGTGGTGGAAATAACCCTGGTTGTGGTCTTGCTCTTCCACCCCCTCCTGGGAAGGGCTCCATTCCAGCTCCACATTCCCATCCAAATCTGTCAGTCTGTAGCAGGCAGCATTTCGGATTTGCTCAACCAAATGAAAAAAAAAAAAAAACAAAAAACCACCAAAACAGCAAAAGCACCTTCATAAGCAGATTTTCAGATAAATTTCCAGGAACTTCCCATTTCTTGGTAATAGCACTAATTCCTGCATTAGGGATGTTCTGATCTTTTCAGCCCCTACATTCTACTTTCACTTCTTGACCTTGTCTTATTAACTGGATTTCTCTTTCATACTGGAGCCAAGTTTGGAGCACCCCAGGTCTTACCTTGAAAGCATTTAGGGGATCCTGGTGTTTGAGAGCAGCTTTTGTAATGCTGCATGTTCACAAAAATGCCTGTGGAATATAAGGAGTGCTGTTAAGCTCTTTTTTTGTCCTTATGAATGGAGAATAAAGAGCAATTTTTCCTTTTTTTTTTTATTGTGGCATCAAAAGGAACTCAGTTGAGTTCCTCACACTGGTGTTGAAGTGTCTGAGGGGCACAGGACTGAACCTGTGGGTTTTAATCCTCCAAGATAGGCAGGTGTGGGTGTGATTTGGGTGCTGCACACCCAGCACACCCCGTGGTGCCACACTGCTTTTTACTCCTTTTCCAGGGCTGAAGATTGCACATGAGGGACACAGTTCAGCCCCAGAAGTGCCTACTTTATTGTGTTTTCAAACTTGTTGCTTGCTTTTTATTGCTAATTTTTAATTGATGCTTTGCACCCTCACCTCTAGATGACTTTTTTAGTCCAGGCTTGTGGGACAGAAACATTTGAGAAGATGTCCAGATTCTGCAAAAGTGGCAATTTTCAGATTATACAGCAGCAAATTTCCTTAAGGGATTTGATGGGACAAAGACAGAAGATTAAAATAAGACATCATTTTTCATGCCTTCCTGGTAGAACTGAGAGTGATGGTTTATAATATATAATACTTGGAGCTATTTTTGCTCTGCAGCAGCACACTGGAACCTGAGTGTTGCACTGTCACCTGGGCTGAATTGAGGCTCTTGAACAGGAAAACAGAATCATGGAGTGGTTTTGGATGGAATGGACTGTGATGTGGGGTGTGGGATGTGCTCCATGGGGCTGTGGCTCCATTCCCAGGCTCGGGCTGGTTTGCAGATATATTCCCCAGAATCACCATGTGCATTAGCCAGCACTGAGCTGTTCTGGTGCTGCTCCCTTCCATGTTAATTAGCTAACAATCTGGGTAATTTGGAGCATCTGCTCCATTCAGACAATGTGATGTTTCATTTCTTCTGAAGAGCCCAGTGTGTGTTCTTTCCAAAAAGGGGTAGATACAGTGTTTATGCAACAGCCAAACATACTAAATTGGCCAAAATTAAGCTTCCCCCTTATCAGCTTCCCAGTTAATTCTGCTTTTATAGGTCATTTTATGCTTTTATGTTGTCATTAAGTTATTTGTGGTTTCAGGGAGCCCAGTGAGAGCTTCGTCCCCTTTCATACCAAGGTGGTGCAAACTGCTCCGGGTGTGTAAAAGGGATCATAAACGGGGAGTAACCCCCTTTGCAGCCCTGTGATGCAGCAGAGCCCCTTGAAGGACACTGGGTGTGACTCCAGTGCTGCACTTAGGAGCAGCAGGGCAGAGCTGCAGCATCTGCCAGGCGCTTTCACACCCCGTGAGCCTCGCTGCTCCCCGAGCCTGGAGGCTGCTGCGGCGTCCCTCCCTTCCCACAGCCTTCCTCCCTGCGCTCATCCAGGGCAGGAGCTGCTGTTTTCCTGCCCTCTCTTCCCTCCCAGCTTCCCCGTTCCCACAGGAACCGGCCGGAGCGGAAACGGGCCCGAGATAGTCACGGCAGGGCCACAATGTCTGCTTGACATCACCCCAACCTCCTCCTCTCGCGCTGAGCAGGGGCTTTGCTTGTCATTCCCACCCAGGGAGGGAATTCCCCCATTCCCCCATTCCCAGGCAGCTGCTCTCTGTTTCCCTGAAAACCCCGGGGTGGGGCTGGGAGACATGGTGGGAGTGTTGGAGGCTGGCATTGTGCACACTGTCGGTGGTTGTGGCCACGTCTGGCAGTTATCAGGATGGCTCTGAAGTTTTAGCATGCTGCATTGACTCTTCCCTCTGAAAGATGGTACGAGACCTCAATACCCCAGTTTGGGACCTCGGTTTTGTTGCGTTTAATAATGCTGGGGAGGAATTTCTTTACTGGGGTGCTGTGTTGTGTGGAGGCTGAAGCTGGGGTGGGGTGCAGGGGGTCCCAATTCCCCGTTTCTGGCTCACTGAGGAAGGGCTGTGCCCATCCACCTCTGTCCTCATCCCCTCCAGAGGGTTAAAAATCTCTCCACAGGTGCAAAGAGCATCCTTCCTTTTTGTCAACTCCCCCTCCTTGAGCCACAGGGCCACAGCCACCCCCACAGAGCACTCGCTGCTGCATTTTGGGCAAATCTGGGCAAATTAACGCAACTTTTTTTTTTTTTTTCTGTTTGTTTGTTCCCCTCTCTTCGCACAGTTCTATCTGCAGGCCAGATTCACGTGGAAGGGAGCCCGCCTGCTCCGTCCCCTGCTGCAGTTCACCCTGATCATGATGGCGTTTTACACCGGGCTGTCCCGCGTGTCCGACCACAAGCACCACCCCACCGACGTGCTGGCAGGCTTTGCACAGGGAGCCCTGGTGGCTTACTGCGTGGTGAGTGGGGAAAGCTGGGCAGCAGCACTCCTGGCAAGGTCCTGTGGGAATAGCAGAGCCTTTGCAACCCACCAGTTCAGCTCGGGGGATTCCCTGGTGCAGCTGGGCATGTGGTGGGAGGCTCCAAAGGCTTGGTCCAGGCAGCTTGGGGCACTGAATGTGTTTCCCTCTCCTCCAGAAGCTTTGGCTTTTCCAGCTGTTTGCAAGGTTTTCCACCATGAGCTGAGCAGAGGGTCTGGGGTGCTTGGGATTATGGCTGTTCCACACACAGTCCTTCCAAAAGCTGGTGTCAGCTGGACCAGGGCAGGCTGATGGATGGCTGATGGATTTTTCAGGGAACAAAAAGACTTGTGAGAAAGGGGCCAACAAAAGCTGTGCCCACTTCTCTTCATCTGCTGGGCTGGTTCTGTGCCACTTTCTCTCCAAAGGGTGATGTGATGCCACAGCTCTGTAACTCAAAGTGACACATGAAGATGCTTGAAGTTGGCAGGATTGGGGGAAACCAGGTCAGGGAGCTGCCTCAGACAGACACAAAGGAGCTGGGGGCTGTGGTGGTTTCTCTGTCTGAGTTAACTCCCCAAAAGCAAGATTTTAACTGCTCACTACTTTTTATAGGGGTTTTTGTTGGGTGGTTCCTATGTCTGTATGAACTCCCCAAAAACAAGATTTTAACAGTTCACCACTTTTTGAAGGAGTTTTTGTTGGGTTTTTTTGGGTTTTTTTTTCTTCCCTGTTCTAAAAGTAAATCAGTCTTGGGAACAAGGAGTTACGTTCACCAATATTACATTTTGCAGAGAGAGAAAATAGGTTATTTATGTACTTCCCACTCATTGATAATATTCCAAAGCCAAAACAAAAATGGCATTGTTGTGACATTTTCAAGGAGAATTATTAACTCTGTGAGCAGTAGCTGCTGGGTTTTGCCTTTCCCTGGTGCCCATGTCCCCTGCAGGGCTGGCAGATCCCGAGGGGGAGGTGGGAGAAGTGTGTGTCTTTATGCTGGGAAGTGGGATAACAGCCTCAGTGTGGAAGGGGAGTGGGGACCAGGCAGTCCATCCCTGGGTCCCAGCAGTGCTTGCAGAGGACAATAGCTCTCCGGATGCTTGGGATGGCTGTCCGGATGCTTTCCTGGCTGGGACGAGCAGCAGGCCTGGCTGTCCCCTCCCAGCCCTGCAGCAGCTGGGAGCTGTGCTGGGAAGGGGAGGCTGTGGCAGGGCTGGGATAGCTTTCCTGTGTCATAGGAAGCAGCTGCCTGGAGTTTCCCAGGCAGGCTCAGGTTTGCCTGTGAGCCTGGAGCAGCCTGAGCTGCTCTCCCAGCCCACTGGTGGAAGGGGCAGTTGTGTCCAAACACTTTGCAGGAATGGCTCAGTAACCTTGGAACATCTCAGGCTTCAGCTTAGGGCAGGGTTTGAACCCAGCCCTTGTCCCATTCCATCAGCCTGCAGAGAACCAGCTGTTCTCCACAACCTGGCTTTGCTGGTGGGATTCTGTGCCTGGTTGGGCCTGGCAGACTTCCCTCCATTTTGGGAGGTGGCAGTAAAGGACAAGAGGAAGAGTCGTCCTAAAACACCCTAGAGTTTGCAATGAAGGAGCAGTTCAGCAGCTTTTTGCTGAAATTCTGGTATGTCCTGGGGGTTCTTGCTCTGGCTGCTCTGAAACAGGGTGAGGGACCTGGAGACTCATCACCTCCCACCTTGGGAGCTCCCAGCCACCCCTTCCCCCAGCAAAACCTTCAGGGTCCACCCTGGTGATAGCCAAGGGCTGTAAAAACACCCCAGTTATCAGGCCATAATTTTCAGTAGAAACCAATTGTGGATTTCATCTCCAAAGGCTGCCCGAGCTTAAACCCAGGTCGTGCTGCAGCAGACACGTTTGTCTTTCGGTGCCTGAAATAACAAGCAGAAGACATTAATGTCAAGCACTTCCAGCTGATGAAACATTCAGACTTGGAGCCAGGATGAAATACAACGAGGATTTCTCAAATAGAAATAGTTTTTATGCGCCTTGCAGGCAGCTTGCTGTGTGTTGTGTGGTTTATGTCTCATCTGAGGGAGAGGGAGAAGGGGAGATGTCAGAAGGACATGCTCCCAATGTTGCTCTGGTTAGCTCAGAGGAGTTGTTTTAACCTCTCTGTATATGATTAAAAATTGCTTCAATAGGATGAAAAGTCATAGGAATTGGTAAGTGGGAGTGTGCGATATTGGCTTAAAGTGCTCTCAGTCTTCTCCCATCAAGTTTTCTTTATGGGTGGAGAGCACCTTCTACAGGAAATGGAGCTAATCCAAGTGAAAAACTTAGCACGTTTATTAGTCCTTTTTTGTGTTAAACAGTTCAAGCATTAGGAGGATTTAACACACTTTTAACCCCCAAAGATCACGTTTCATGATTCCTATAAATGTTTATATAACCTCCAGCCATGTTAAAGTGAAATACAGTTTAAAGAGAAATGAAACCCCTTAACCAGTCTTTCAATGAAGCCTGAAAAGCAGCACAGTAAAAGCAAAAATACCCAGGATGACACTCCACCATAAGTCATTCCTGTCAAAAATAAGGACCAGACTCAAAGCAATCCCCAGATGCTTCTTGCACTCAGCAATCCCCTCCCATAAATTGATTTGTCATGGCTATCCTGGTGCAGAAGCTGGACACCTTTTTGATTGAATCCAGCTCTCAGAGGTGGACAAACAAGTGGGATGGCAACAGAAATGCACCAAACCAGACAGATGGGGTGTTTGCAGTTATTAACAGCCCAAAACAAAACCAGTGCCAGAGCAGTTCAACATAGTTTTACACTGGGATGCTGCAGCAAGGGGCCAGATTCCAGCTTATGATCCTCAGGAGTATCAGCTGGATCCTGTTATTTACCCAAACATACAAAGGCTGCCACTTGGATGCCATGTAAACAACTTTATCAGCTCTGTTACACAGCCAAACATCCAGACACTGGCATGTACATCAAGAAAAGAACTGTTTGTACATCAGCTCCTTCTCTGCTTTTCCACAAAGCAACACCAGCTCAGCTTCCTTCATCCCTGGTTACAGTTGTAGGATTAAATTGCTGCGTATAGCAGCTTCTCTGTCTGTGCAGCTTGAGCCTTATCTGCTGTGCTGATAGGGGCTTGCAAAAGTTATTTGCAAGGACAACTTGATCTGCTGCACAAGGCTGTGGGTGGGTAGAAAATGTGGAGATGCAGGTAGGCCAAACCTTTTGCTTTCTCCCTGTGTTACCCAGCCTGGAAGTCGTAACCTAATATTATTTCTATAAACACCTTGGAATTATTTTTTCCCCCTGATTTATCTGGGTGATTAAATGTTGCATTTGAGTAGTGTGAGAGAAAAAAAACCCAAATGTACTGCTGATTCCTACAGCCATGTGCTGCTCATCCTGGGATTTCACCTCAGCAAACCCATGGCTTCAGTCCAGATTATTGGGGCTTAAGGCTTTCTGAGATGAGCTGTCAAATTTGGGCTGGCAGGGACAGTCGGTGGCAGGACGGAAGTTGGGGGCTGTGGCGCCAGGTGACAAAATGATGGATCCTTGCCACTTCTTGCTCTATCCAGAGGATCTGTGCTGTCTGATTCTTTTCCCTTCTGGCACGGGGCTGAGGTTTGGCAAGGGTGAAAGTGCCCCGGTCCTGGAGGACTGATAAGCTTCGTGCTGCTGCCAAAGGAGGATGTGGAAGTTTCCTCCCAGCACTTTGTTTCTTATTGTGTCACTGCCTTCCGAAATTGCCAGGCACTGGCTTTTTCACATCCGGGAGAGGCGTTACATCACGGGATATTTAGGAAGAAGGAGTCAGGAATAGATTCTCCTCTCCTTAGCCTTTGGCTTCCACCAGACCCCAGCTCTGTACTGGTGCCTTGGTGGGGCATGAGGAGCATGGCTCACCATTGACTCACTGCTGATAGCTTTTAACACAGCTTTGACTTGAAAGGTTTTAATTGCCTACCTGATGTCTGTCTGAATAAATTGTTTAACACCAACTCCATCCCTGAAACCACTCAGGATGAGTCAGGCCAACCCTTTGGAGACCTTTGTTATTTTATTGGAGTGCAGGCTGTGGATCTGTTTCCTGGCTTTTCAACCCATTCAGCAGAGGTCTGGGTATTGCACTCGGTGATGACGCAGTGAGAAATCAAGTTGTCCTCTCATGGTTTTAGAGTTTTGTGAGGTCTGAGCCTTTTTCTCTGCTGTACAGAAAGGTGGTAGCAGGTGCTTGGGATTTCACACTCTTATGGGCCTGCATTCAAAAAGTGCTATTTTTGCAGCTTAAAAATGTGTATATATTCTGTCAACCAACTTTTTGAACAAAGCAGTATCAACTGTGACTAAGTTTGCCTTTTCCACTTATTCCTGCAGGTGTTTTATGTCTCAGATCTCTTCAAACCCAAGACAAAGACTTGCCTGCCTCCACCTCCCATCCGGAAGGAGATCCTTTCACCTGTGGACATCATTGAGAGGAATAATCATCACAACATGGTGTAGAACTTCGAGGAATCAGATGGGTGTTGTATTTTAATTTTTTTTTTTTTTTGCAAAAAAAAAAAAAAAAGTGACTGCTGACAGCAACTACCTGCTGCTCTCAAATCTCATCAGACAGTAGAATGTAGGGAGAGACTTTCTTGCCCGACCAGTAAAGTCTTACTCTGTGGTCTTTTCAACTTGTGACATTTGGATGAAAGGGGTGGTGGTGGTCAACTAAGGCAAAGGCAACAGTGAGAAAGGAAAAAGAAAAACCCACACTACACAAAAAGCCGAACAAACAAAGAGAGGTGCCGGAGTTCTGGATGTGCAATTGGTTTGAGTGTTCATGTTGTAGTGAACGCCAAATTGTTCCTAGCCCAATGAACACTAAGGGATTTTTGGAAAACTGGCCATCCTAGATTTTTTTCGGACTACGAAGATTTCCGATGCCTACGAGAAAATAAACCAACACGCGACTAAATTGTATAGCACTACGTATGAGCAACAGCACTGAGTCAAGATCTGGGATTGGTTTGTGAGAGTTGCTATTTTCTCTTCTTGATCCTAGTTTATTTTGCCTCCTCTCTTCCATACTGTGACTTAATTTAGAAGAAGCTTGCCCAGTCCAAGGTCTCCGCAGGGTCTCCGTTCTCCCTGCTCACACCACACGCCTTTAATGAGCGGCCCGAGCCGCGCAGCGAGGCCGGAGAGCTCCTTCCTCCGCACAGAGAAGCCACATTTCTTCCTCCCCGCTCGCTCCCTGGCGAGGGCTCGCCCCACCCGAGCCCCCTAAATGAAAAGAGCATCCTCCACTTCCCAGCCATCCCCTTTCCCCAGAGGAAAATCCCGGCAGGTTTCGTGCGCGGGAGCCGGCGGTTTGCGCCGGGGGAGCGGCGGCTCTGCCGAAGACTCGTTCGCACTACGACCCCGGGGCTGAGTCCCGGGGAAACTTTTATTCTGCAGTTTTGGGACGGGCTGCTGGGCGGCACGTCCCGGCCTGGGTGTCAGTCGGTTTGTGCATCCCCTCCTCTCCTCCTCCTCCTCCTCCTCCTCCTGCTGCTCCTGGGGCAGCCCGGGGTGCGCCATGGCAGTACCAGGTCCTGTGCTCCGCTGGGTCACTCCGGTGGGAAATCAGCTGTGCCTCTCTCGGGGGTGATGATGGAAGTTATTTTTTTGCCCAGAAGCCACAGGTGCTTGGTTTGCAGCCCTTCCACGAAGCGCATTTGCAAAGGGATCCCGCAGAACATGCAGAAACGGCCATTTGCACATCCTTCTCACAGAATCCGTCCTATCATTTCAACTTATAGCAAGCTATGATTTTTTTTTATATTATAAATATTATATAAATAATGTATAAAACCTTAAAAATTAACTATGTAAAATATTATTTCTGAAACAATTTTAGATATATCCACTATGACTATAAACTGTGTCCTGACCTGTGTTATTTACATTTTGCTGCTTAAAAAAGCATTGAATTAATTTTTTTATAGTCGACTAAAATATTGTAGTTCTGTGGTAGTAATATTTTAATGAAAATAACTACAATTAGAGACATTTGTATAAAAAAACATATTAAATTGTCTGTATTTTTGTAATGTTCCATTTTGTAAAGAGAAGAATATTCAAAGACTTTTGTAGAATACAAAATTGAAGTTTGTATCTGCGAAATTATTGCTGTATAAATGTGCTTTTTAAATAAAAGCTCATAACACAACTAAACATCCCGGTGCAAGCTGCATTCTGTCTTTGGGTTGCCCTTTCCTTGCCAGAAAAAGAGAGTCTTTGCCCAGTGGGACAGTTGGAAGTGTGATGGGGATGTTGGGTGGCATTTGGGAATATGATGGTACAGGAGGGCAGCTGGATAAAAAGGACCAGATGCCATTTTTGATGGGAGTGATGAGAAGGTCCCACCAGCTCCTGGCTGGGGGCACATGTGGGTTTGGATTGATCTTCTCTTTTCTATGTCCAGTCTTAAAGCAAATCTCATTTTACTGAAGGTATCCCTTTTACTTTAACAATTTTATGAGCTTTCAAGAAATATTATGGGAGTAAAACAAGGTCTGAAGGGCCATGGCCTAGCTGCTGGTAGTCCTGGACAGCCCCTGCCTGGGAGGGCTCCCAGCTATGCTCTGCACAAACACCTTTCCCATGAAAAGCAGGCACTTGGTAGCTGAACCAAAACTTTGCAGTTTGCTGTGTTGCCCACGTAGGTGGGATGGGAAAGAAGAAAAAAGAACAAAATCTCACAACAACATGTGCTCAGAGAGGCACATGTGCTCAGCATACAGTTGTGAGGCAGACTGGATTTTTAAATTATTATTTTTTTTATTATTATTGTTTTTATTTTTTTATTATTGTTATTTTCCTCCTCCTACAGAGGCAAATGAACTTGTTGCTGGTGACACACGGTCAGAGCCGCGTTTCGACCACTCCTTGAGTGAACCACATCAGCGAGATAACACGGCACAGAAATAATATGCAAGAATGCATGACAGGAAGCAAATACCACATCAAACTGCAAAGAAAGAGCAGGTGGAAATTAAGCCAGCAGAACTGAGCTAGCAGTTGCTATTATTATCCTAATTAGGAGTAACATTTTATTACGCGTGGAAAAACTTCGTAAACCCGCGCCTGTCCCAAATGCAAAGGGAGTTTTCATGGTGCCACGTGTGATCTGAGCCTGAGTGTTTGGAGGTTGAGTGTGTTGCAGAGGTGAGACTTCAGCTTGGGGCAGTGAGGACAGGCTCTTAATCCCCATCTGATCTCCCAAATGCATTGCCTGGGTGTAATAACCCCCAGAGGAGAAGGAAACGCTGCCTGTGGAGCCCTCCATGTGCAGAGCCAGCCCCAGTGCAACAAGCACCGGGCTGAGAAAAGTGTGTGCTTGCACCTTAACCCCAGCTACCTGGAAAAAGCCAGGAATACAGATGTCTGGGTGAAAGAGGGCTTGGAGAAGGGTCAGAGGGGAAGAGAGCAGGAGGGGATAAGAGCCCAGGAGTGCAGTGGGGCTGGCGACTCACGGGATGTCACTCGGGATGTGCGGGTCAGCCTGGAGAGAGGGAGAAAAGGCCATGGATGAACCTATGGAAGGCAACAGGGTTGAACTCTATAATGTGGGGCTGAGCATCAGCAGTGCCAAGGGATGGTTGAGCGATGGTTGTTTCCTCCCCTGCTTCCTGCCTGCCTCTCCCATGCTGTCCCACTCCATCCCATCCTGGGGAGGGTAAGGGCAGCTTTGCACAGCTGGGTGGAAAAAGGCAAGGTCCCCAATGACCTTTGGGCTAGCCAAGCACAGAGGAAGGTTCCAGTGCTACAGGAGGAATAAGGACTGATTTTAAATGAGCATTTCAGTGAAACTCCACAGAGAAGTGAAAGCCAAAGGAGCACTGTTGTTGGTACCACGAACCATGAGTATGGTGACAGGATGTATCTACTGCCACAGCTTCCTGAGGGGCAGGAAGGAAGAGAAAATAAATATGTGAAATGGAAAAAAACCCAAACCCAAATCCATATGAGCGCTGGGATCCTGAGGCCACTGCTTTCTGCAGTGTCTGCAGGTGCAGCTGGAGCTGGAGCACTGCTGTGCTGCTTGGCCCTTCCTGCTGGAATGCTGGGCAGCCAGGACACTTTGGGGTTTGCATGCTGCTGCTCTCTGCAGCTCTCCCGAGGAGGCAGAGGGATGTACAAGCCCAGATGCTCTCATGCAAACAAGACAGTGTTGCTGGAGCCCGGGGCTGGGTGCTGGTTGTGGCCTTTAGTGCTGGAAACACCGGGCTCTGCTCATGCTGATGCTAATCAGGCTCTGCGGAGCACCCAGCTGTCTGCCTTTGATGCTGGGGCCTGGCTGGCAGAGCCTCTCTGCACAAGGGGACGTTCTGGTCAAACCTGTCTTTTTTTGCACCCAGACTGGTTGAACACGTTTTCAAAGGCAGGGATTCTGCTTGCACCTGACTGCCATGGGAGCAGGTCTTTTGTTCCAGGGGAAGGGAGGTTTACGCAAGCCCCAGGTCCGGCCGTGTCTCTGCACCTAAACAGCTTCACTCAGCAAGAACGCCTTGGCAGCCTGCAGAGGCTGGAGCTGTTGTACTTCTGCTCAATGATTTTCGGATATGAAGCTCTCAATCAAGGGAGGGGGAGGGAGGAGGTTCACCCCACAAGCAGAGACCTGTTTTTCTCATGCTCCAAGCCTGCCTTGTTTTGGGTGTCCGAAGGTTTCACCCAGCTCTTCGTAAAGCCGAAACCAGCGCTCATCCGTGGAGCCAGAGGATGGGCTGAGGTCCTGCTGAGGTCCTGCAGGGCTGGTGTCAAGCCCACATCTATGGCTGGGGTGCAGCACAGCACCCCACTTTAGCTGCATTTTCCCCCCCATCTTTTCCTTGACACAGCCCATGCCTGCATCCACCATTCTCCTCTCAAAAGGCAAGCGATTCCTCCCTTGTGTTTGCCTTTTCCTCTGGACACCAGATCAGAGGTTCAGATTTTTAGGAATGATGTGAATCACTTGCCTCCTGGCTTCTGTAAACATGGTCCATCCACCTGCCCTCAGACAGGAGCTGCTGCCCATCTCCTCCAGACTCTCCTTCCCTTGTTCCTGGGTGCCAGGTGATGCTCTGGGCACAGCCCTGACTGCTTGGATTACCCAGCAAAACCAAACACATGTTGTCACCTTCACTGGAGGAAGCAGAAGGTAGAAAACAACCTCCTGTTGACTCAGCGGTGGGGAGGGGGGGACAAAAAAGACACACAAACAAACCCCAAAACCCAACAACTTTCAATTATCACCTTTGCACGCCACCCCCACTGGCACCAGCCGGCGCAGGAGTGCCTGCGTTAGCTTGTCTCGAGTTACAATTTCCTCGGGGCACAGACTACACCTAGGTGTGTGTTTGGGTAATAATGATCCGACTGGTTGTGATGAATCCACGCCTCATCCTATCTGTAGCTAGAAGGGAGCGAAGTCACCGGGATCATCTCCCAGTTTCCTTAGAAAGTCTCGTTCTGCGAGTTCCTGCCCTGCCACCGTGGCGGCACCTCGTAGGCAGCTCTGCTTTTAATATATAGTGCTGTGGCCTGGTGGAGAGTTTAATTCCTGTCCTGAACCCAGAAAATAATCGTCTTGGCTTCTTTCTTTATTTTTTTCCCCCCCAATTTCGCGTCAGGCGACTCTCAGAGCTGCGTTTTGGGGCACGTGAAGTGCGAGGCTGCCCGGTAATTCCTGAGCACCCGTGGTGTCTGAAGGCATGAACTCTGCAGGGTTTGATCTGACTTTGTGCAGAGGGTTCATAACCAGCAGGAACAATGGGCTGTTATTTAAGAAAAACACCTTTTAGTGTTTCCACGTGTCAGCAGAAAGTTGAGGATCAGAACCACCAAAACACCAAAGTGAGTGCGCACACAGCCACGGATGGGATGAATGGGGATTGTGGTGGGTTCAGCTCGCTCCTGAAGTCTTTGAAATGGTTCAAAATATACCAAAATTTGAAATAAATTACATCTCCTTCCCACCTGAAAAACAAATAAATTGAAACAAAGCTGTCTGTTCATTTGTACAGGAACTGGTGTGAAAAGCTGGGCTTTCCCAGCACACTTTGACATCTCCATTTCCAGGTGTGTGGTGTGAGTGCATGTGAGCTGAGGTCAGCCTGAGATATAAATTAAATAAAGGAGCATTTAATTCTTGCTAGGCTGATCTTTCCCCTGGAGAAACACCATGAATGGATCTGAAAGAATGGTGCTGTTTCAATAAGGGACTCAGAAAGAAAATAAAATGTTAAAAAGAGAATAAAACCTCTTTTTATCCAAAGAAGAAAGGGAGCCAGATCTCCTGTGAGCACCATCCTTTCAAAGGGATCTGCCTTCTGCACAAGTGTGTAATTTGCTTATTTTCAAAGAAATTTTAGTGATGTTGAAGGCAAATTAATAACACCACTCCAGCCTCCCGGGGCTTGTCTGAACATGAAAAGTTGTTAATGTTTAATATGAGGTAAAATTTTAATCTGTTTCATTAAACTGAGTAGATATTCTTAGTCCATTTTAAAGCAGGATTAGCTATGTTTACCTCAAGTCAAGTAAGCACAAGTATAATGTCAACTGATACAAACCTTGCTTAAATTAAAGGAAGAATACTACCAAGGCTTAGGGGAGGGAAAAGCCTGTTGGAAGTTTTTATTTAAAACAAAGAAATGGGGAATTTTTTTTTTTCTTTACAGGGTATTTTTTTCATTGGGAAAACAATAAAACCCAGAAAAAGTCCATGAAAGTTTTGCTTGTAAACGATGAGATGATTGCAGCTGAAATAACACTGCTTAATTCAGGAGAGGTAATTCTTTTCAGCAGGGCCATGCTAAGCATCCCCTTGAGTGGATCTGGGGGAGTCTGGGCCTGTTGGACTTAGCAGTTCCAACTCACCCATCTAGGAGTCACCAGCACTGCCCATCAGCAAATTAATGATGCTGCAGTCCTCTCTCAGGAATCATCCAGCAGCTCTTAGATTTAGCTCTGCAGCCTATGGACAAGATACTGCAAGTCCTTTAGGAAGAAATCCAGGCTCAATGTGAAGGTGCCAGATTAAAAAGGATTTACCACATCCTTTAGCCAGCTCTCCCGCCAGCTTGTTGGCCTCACTGTTAAAAATGCATCAATACTTCCCTTGGTTTTCATTAATAACTGCTTTTGTATTCCCATGCCCCATATTCCTTTCATTTATCAAAAAAAAAAAA